AATAGGGTCCTCACACCATCGGTGCTCGGGCCCTAATAATATAAACGTAACTAACTAATTCCTGTGATGGCAAAGCTGAATTTCCAGAAATTACTTCAGAAATCATTCTAAAATGCTGATTTGGTACTCAAACAAACAAATAAATAATAAATGTTGAATTTAAAAAGAGTTGTGTTGTTTAATATCTTTGTTGAAACTGTGATTTTTCAGGATTCTTTGATGAATAGAAAGTTCAAAAGAACAGCATTGAAATAGAAATCTTTTGTAATATTATAAATGTCTTTACGGTCACATTTGATTAATTTAATGCACCCTTGTTAAATAAAAGTACCAAAAAAAAAATCTTGACCCCAAACTTTTGAAAGGTAGTGTAACATAATAAACATGTAGTGTAACAAAATAAAATTTTATTTATGCGTTCAAGTGTGATTCCCTTATCCCATTCATTGTCATAAAAAACAATGTAACAATACAAAAAATCTTAACAGTCTTAAAATAGTTAATTTTTCATCCATTAAATTTTGTAAAATTTTATTTCCTTTTTTACCTTTTGAATTTGAGCTGAAATGTGGCTCAAATTGTAGACTGAGAACAACCTTTTTTATTCATTAATTCCGTGAAGAAGAGTAAAAACATATGCTAATTTTTGTGTCAGTCTGTAACTGCAGCAGCTATTGAAACTGGTGTGTATTGACTTAAGGCAGCTCCTTCCTCATTACTCAGGAAAACATCTAAAGCTCAGCAGATATGTACATTAATAATCAATCAGTGAGCTTTAACCCAATTCATCTCATCTTCAATCACTTGCTCAGGTCATCTCTGCTCCACAAACACAGCTCATTCGTTTGTTTATTTATTTATCACATTTAAACAAAAATCCCTCACACAAACGCTCTCTGTCTCTTGGCCACCCTGTTATGTTCATAACAGCTTCCTCCATATGCTGCAAACAGCACCATCCCCCATCTGTCCAGCTCAGAACAAGCTATTCCAGAACATTTTCAAGGCTGTTTGCATTTCAAAAGAATGTGTGGATAAACAGTCTTCTTGAATCTTCAAGAACCGAGTAAGAGACTTGTTGCCCAGTCAAAGCGTGATTACCCATAGTCAAAACAACCAGGGAAGCCTGGGTGAAAGAACAGGGTTAAATGTTAGTCAAGCTGCTCATGCCTTAGCGGTTGTAGGAAGGTGTTGGTTTTAGGAGGCTGAACTCCAGTGGGGGTTCAGATGCACTCTCATGCCGTTTCTGCTATTTGTTTACTGTGTATAGCAGCCTGTTTATTTGACCCTTTGCCCAGCATCCTGGCCCCTTTGGGTGGGGGGGCGCGATGGTGGCCGCTATATCTCACAAAAGTGTTTCCTGTTTTACTTCCCAGAGTGTTATAACTGGTTTCCTAGAAGTCAGAGTTCCAGTTAGTCCATAGAGCTGGTTAGTGCAAGTTTGGTGATTAGATTGCTCAGTTTGGCTTCATTCTGTCTTGCCCTCTCCAATCCCCCAGGTAATGGTACAGGGCAGAACGCATCTGAGAATGAAAATGATACGACAGTAGTCCAGAGAGGTGAGGAGGAGTATAATCTTCAGATGAATGGCTGGTCCATCTGTAAAGAGCAAGATGAGATGCTGAACCTGGCCTTCACCATCGGCTCCTTCCTCCTCAGCGCCATCACTCTGCCTCTTGGCATCATCATGGACAAATATGGCCCACGCAAATTAAGGCTGCTCGGCAGGTACAAGAGGAAAACTGGCATCTAAAAACACTAAATAAAAATGCACTACATTTATATGGTGAAAAAGTATTATTCATTTTCTATTCTTTTCTATTATTACAATAATGTGAAATTATCTTTTCGTAGTGCCTCGTTTGCCCTCTCCTGCATCCTGATTGCATATGGGGCCAGTGACCCTAGAAGTATGTATGCAATCCACCTGGGTCCACTATTACTGTTAATACCTGTCTGTCCCCGCTGTCTTTGACCCCCTTTGTCTTTTTCTTTCACAGATCTTTCCATCTTGATCTTCTTCGCCCTGGCGCTGAATGGGTTTGGAGGAATGTGCATGACCTTCACCTCGCTCACAGTAAGTGCTCATGTCATACTTGTGGGTCTCCATGGGTGTCCTCTCCAGTCTTTTGCACAAAGGCCATAGCGCAATCTCGTAAACTGGCCACATGCCACTGTTTCCTGCTCCTAAAAATTGCTGCATCATCATTTATTCATCTTTAAAGAGATACTTTTCTTAGCTGGATTTCCAGCATCCTAACAATTGCCTGATATTAACATAGAATGTGATTTGAAATAGTTTTTTAGCAACTACCTAGAAATCACCTAGCAATGCCATAACATCAATGTAGAATAGCCAAGCAACCACATAGCAATGCCATAGCTACGGACTAGCAACCACCTACAACACCCAAGCAACCACCCAAAGCACCATAGCCTTCTGAATGAATCAGTGTTTTTGAACAAATGAGTGGAGTAAATGATTCAATGACTCACTCTTAAAGGGGTCATATGATGCTTTTTTAAAGATCATTATT